GTAACAGCACATTAATAATTTATACTTTGTCCTATGGAAAACACTGCATAATTTGCTCAGTAGAGAACAGGGGAAAATGAACAAGGGGCAGGATGCAGAGGAATCTGAAAAGAAACAGCTTCTTTACAGCAGCTGTGGCAGATCCCAGTCAAGACTAAAACCTGTTTGGGCTTGGTAATGATAATTAGCTTCTCTTTGACAATGTCTTCAAATAAATGAAAACAACTTTCCGAATGCAGGAAGAAGTGAAGAATTGTTACTCTCTAACTCTGTTCCTTCCCCATTTTGTATTTCTTGTTTGGATCTTAAAGTTTTCAGTCCCTGACATCTGGGATTTATCTACAGGAAAGCTCTTCCTTGCCAACTATATTTTTCAGGTTGCAAACACCACAACCACTTTCAGGAGGTGAACGGCGTTTTAAAGACATGTTGCAAAGCATTAAGCAAATAATTTCAATTTAATTTCAGATTTAAACATCTCTACAAGTTTATGAGTCAGGCAGCTATCCTTGACACTTCACAACTGGCAGATACACAAGAATTTAGCATGCACTTTTCAGAAGCAGTCTTTAGTTTTCTGTACCCAACACTCAGCACCAGCAACCGCCTTTAAAATCAACAGTAGCGTGTGGCCTTAACACTTCTGGCAATCTGACCACAGCAAATCGTGGTCACACAATTTATATCAGCTTGCTAAAATCGTGATAGAGGTCTTTATCAAGATAAATCTTGATAAATCTTGATAAATATCATATGATTTATATCAGCTTGCTAAAATGCCATACACACTGCCATGTGTGTTAAGAGTACAGTCTCATATAACCCCAGAGTGGACCCAAACACCAAGTGCCATCAAAATAGCTGGTCTGCTCTCTCTGTACTGGTTGCCTTGTATCACCAGTGCAAGTTCTGATAACAGGAGTCAGTTGGATGAGTTCTCATTGATCCAATGAAGAAATACACTTGCAATCAGATTTTCTTGGAGTAAAAAAAACAAAATAAATCTGGTTCAGATTGTAAAATTGCTATAACCAACACAGAAGGGGAAAATGTACAACTAGAATGTAAAATAAGCACAGAAGACTGAAAGCAGGACTGCTTCTACAGCAACTGCCTATTCTTTTATCAAAATGAAGCATAAGGCAAAATGATACCATTCACCTGTAGCCCACATAAAGAAAAAACATATTATATATGCTTCAGTATCATGGTTCAGATGGACAGACACACCACAGCTACATTTCAGCTACATCACAGTAACCCATGAACTTGCCTCAGACTCTTAAGGCTCTTCAAAGACAGACAGCCAACACTCAGACCACATAAAAGGCTGCTTCTGAAAACACATTCTGCAAGAAATAGGAAAACAGCACAGATGTAATAAAACTGAGGACCTGCTTCCTCATTCTGTCTGCAATAATTTATTTCTCCATGAGCCTTATAACTTGCATCTTCATCTTTTGACAGGTCAGTACCTCTACATAAAAGGACATAAAAGAAAAAAAAACAACATGATGATAAAGCTTACTTGTATGTATCATCTAAACATTTGAGCTCCTGAATTTCCCTTACTGCTTTCCAGTTCTCCAGTTACTTCCCAAGAACTAATTCCCACCCTCCAGTAGTTTCCTGGAGTTTTCTTCCTGCTGCTCCCTGACAATCACCACACTGGAGGACTGCACCTCCCTGCAATTCCTGGCTTTCCAGGAAAACTCCAACACTACTTTCTAGGATTTCCCTCAGTTTTGTAGGAATCCCCCTCTACCCTAAATTCCTCTGGGTCTCCATGAATTCCTTGTGCTGCTTTCTAGGACCACTATGGGTGACTTCCCACCATTTCCAGGGAATCTCATTTCCTATCCATGGTTTTTCCCTTTTCTATTTTTGAATTAATATGATTTGCTTGCATAGCACCAGGAGAAGTACAGTAATTTCCTTTGCTATTTTTTTCCCTGTTATGCTATGTAAGGCCTCTAGCAAGATGTGGGTCTGTGCTTCAGAAACAGTGTAATGAATGTTCATAAAATTATATAATATTGCAAGGTCATTGATAAAGTGCATTTAAGCCTTTCCGAAATTGGCTCTAGTCACTTTTATTATTGCAAAATAATTCATTTCATAATGTATTTTAAGCACATTGTAGATCCCACTAGGGACAGGTAAGTATTATATTGGATCCGTAACAAAAGATGTGAGTCCATTGGCTTATTGGTCTTTACATGAGAGAGAGTAGAAATCTCGAACACACAAAACTATTTCTTCAGGTTTCAAGATCACATCCACCAGAATGAAAAAACAAAAGACACAAACAAGACCCCCCCGAAATGCAACCACCAGAGAAAAAGCCCTTAATTCTCTGGGGAAAACAAAAAAGGACTGGAGCTTCTGGTGTATCTACAAGTTCATGAGAACAGCAGAGTCAAAGAACAGACAAACTCATGGGATTTATCTACTATAAAACTTTGAGATAAAATTTGTCATGACCTTCTAATGAATGAGAAGTCTATAGCACACACACACACAGTTGCATCCACTTCTTCCTTGAATGTTTCCTGAAAATCTAAACTGCCGGAGGCAGCCTCCTAAAGGTACCATTAACGGGCAGGTAATTAAACATCACCTTTTTTAAGATTACTTCCATGGTTACTTCATCCCCAGTACACCCAAGTCTAGGTGAGAAATGCAGAACTCCCTATTCAACCGAAACTGTTACTCCAAAATGTGATATTGTTAAAACAGAATGGAACAGGGTGTTCAACAAACTAAAATGTTTTGACTCAAAGTGTCGTACAGCAGATGGAGCTAAAACTATGGTCTATGAATAGCCACCCACACATGAGAACACACAGAGATAATAAATACCCATCATGTATCCCATCAGGTGACTATCTTAAACAACTTTTCTACTGCAAAATGACACACAGAAGTTTGTGAAGTTCACATCAAAGCAGCCCTTCAAGTTTCAAATCAACAAAGATTAAAAAGAAATGTAATCAGCTTGCAACGCTCATGCCAATGTCACATAAAAGTTAAGTTCTTCCCTTGAACAGTATCTACAGTTATATCATTCATGTTCCTCTTGAGAGGAGGTAAAACGACAGGGATGTTTGCCATCTTTACCATACATGTGGGGATTGAGAACGGACGTGCTATTTCACCGTACACCAGACAAAGGTGAAAATCAGTTGTTTCAAACAAGATTCCTCCTGGAAGATCACATGTCCATCCATTACCACACTTCCCAAGAAAACTGCAACACTCCTCCCCTTTATCAGAAATAAATGCATTGCAAGAGTTCCACAGGTTCCCCTCCACCTCCTCTGTTCCTCCCTCCCCAACACAATCCACCTGGCTAACCAACCAGACTATACCAACTACATTCAGAAACACTCCGAAGTGCAGAATGACTTAATTTAGCAGAGGTGAAAGTTTTTCAAATGGAATCCTCCCAACCTCAGCTCCACAGCAGAGTAAAACATTAATCAGTTTTAGGTAAAGCACTTACCTTCTCTTCCTTCTCCTACACAGAAATAAAGGGCTTGCAGGAATGGGCAATACTGATTCTCCTTTTTTCCCTACTAGCTATGAGGTGACCAAAAAGACCTATATGAACAGGCCAGTAGAGTTCCTAAGGGTTTTTTCAATGAAATACACAAACTCTTTCCCAGTAGCTCACAAGTCCAAGATTATCTAACCTGATGTTGAATCACCTGACTTCTCTGTATGTTCTTGGTAGTCCTGTCTTGTACCTGTTTTTTCAGCTATTACAGTTTTTCAAATTTAGGTAACATCACCAAAGGAGCATACTATCTTTTACTTCATGTTTTATTTGGAAAAAAATCCTTCTTGATTACGTAAACACAGATAATGTGCTTGAGGCATTATCATTTTAGGCCCTAACTTGATTTGCAATCATAATCTGTATGATCAATTCCCTGCTTGGATATCTTAATAAATAATGAACTGCTAAAGGTGTAAATTCACACGATGAGTTCTGAAAACAACTGTCATTTATGCTATATTTAAAGTATGATTAAAGTCAAAATTGAGAAGGTTGTATCCAGGAACTGTTGTCTACTTTTGGCTATTTATTACCATCAATGAAAAGGGTTCTATCCAAATTTTTGATTTGGCCTCAGACACTGAAACCTCAAAACTGTTTCCCCTCAACAGAAAGACTAATTTTGTTCTTTTAGGTGGAAATTCTAGTTCAACTTGCTTCCCAAGCAGCCACAATGTTTACTCAGCTAAAGATACAAGTATGAAAATATTTTTCAGATGTTAAGTCAACTCTGGTAAAATGGCTGAATTCCATATTTAAAAGATCTACACTATCACTCTATCTGGATGAGTTTCTATTGACAATTCCAAAGATTTTCAGAAGTCCTGGGCAAGTAAAAATCTTCCCTAACTGCACACACTATTTCACATCAGTTTAAATTAGTTTCTTGCTACAGCCTTCAAAACATTACTACTTAAATAAGCATCAACATTCAAAACCAGTTTTCAGTTAACCTACCAAAGTCAGTAACATTACAAAACAGACAAAAGAACAATATTTGGGGATTCTCTGGATTAAAATACCGTTTTGTATCTTTGAAGTTCAAATGAGGGTTCTGAGAGAAATTCTGTCTATCTAGGCAGTTACCTGCTACAATAAGATAATTTTTACTTTGACTATACTCAACAGGAAAAGGCCATCATCACCTAATAACCTTTCATCTCATCAAAGAACATGAAGAAAGTATGTCTTCATAAATATAAGCAGTATATGAAATAACTCACCTAAACCAACTGAACTAAACCAAATGTAAAACATATTTCCAAGAAGTCAACCAGATGCTTCTAATGCAATGTATGCATTAGAAATCACAAGTCACAGGCCAGAGCAGCTTTATCACTGATACTCGCCTAACGTTAAAGAATCCAGAAGCTGGCACAAGAGCTTCCCTGACAGTGTACATATGGCAAGTGATACAAACATAACAGTACACACAAGATTTATTAAAAGTACAAGCAGATCTTGTTTTTACTAATAACACAGGAGAGATGTGACCAATATGTTGTACTTTAATCCAAAAGCTAAGATACTGAAGGCCCCATTCGTATGGACAAGACATTGCTGGTCACCTTGCTCTCCCCAGCCTCACACATATACACTGAGGGTAGAATTACAAACATTTAGAGAGCAGTAGCGTATCACTTCACGAGGCACCTTCCCATCCTTATCCTGGGTGGGAACAGCTTAGAAGTTCCAGCAGGGCAATATACCTCCAAGAAATCTGTGGAGTATTTTTAGAGGCTCAAACAAAATGCATCTTGTGTCCTTTCAGTTCACAGAGTAGCCCTGAACTAGAATGATTTAGATAGGACAAACTGAGAATTAAGGACTAAGTTTCATAAAGAGATTGCTTGAAGAAAAGTCCATGAAAGACAGGTCTTTGCCCAGACCACTGTTTCACAAATGCCCATATATACAAAATAACGTGGAACCTGGAAGAGACCACGAGCAGTGTCTGTGTTCAGAAAACTAAAAAAGAAAATGTATGACATCTACAAATCAGCCACATGGAAAAGGTCAAGTGCCTCACTGTGAGAATCTAAAGCTTGTCATTGATTCCAAAGAACAAGTCACTGTGTCACTGCCACTGTTCGGCATCCAGCACGTACATTGAGGATCAGCATCAAACAGTTTTGTAAAAGAAATGTCAAAGAAACCATATCCTAAGTGCCAAACCCCAAACTTACTGAAGTAAAGCAAATCTGTGTAACAACACTTTCTGAGAGCACAGTCCCACCAGGAAAATGCTTTTCTTGGGATGAAAATCCTTTTTTAACAGAACATCACAAAAAAACCTTTATCCTCAGATAAAGATCTTCCGTTTCTCACGTCTCTGTCATGTTAGCTGTTCAGCAATGATCTTCCACAATTCCTGTAGGAGTGGAAAAAATACATGCAGGTATTTTCTCAGGTCAGTAGATTCAACATGCCCACTTGAAGACAAGTTTTAAGACACGCCTTCCATCTGTAGATAGTATCCATCTGTGGATGGATACCAAGTCCATGTGTATTATTCTAGAACAACCACCAAATTATCTTTGAGACAGAGCATCAGAATTGATTTTTTCACTCTTGTACCAAGATTTTTTAGAATAAAAGATTAGTATTGAATTAAATAATTTGTTTTAAAATAATTTCATTGTTATGCGTGACCTTCTGCAGTATTCTGATTGATTATCTTGCTCTTTTGCTTAGCCTGTGTTGACAAACGCTTTTGATAATGCTAGTAGAAATACAACTGAAAAAATACTCAATGTAGTGAGGAATCACAGTCTCACAAATGCACTTCTTATTCGCTCACACCCCCTGCTTTCTCAATCTGTTGGACAACACAGATGAAAAACAGACTATTTGAATAAATTAAATGAAATAAATTACCATACACTTTGCTATACCAGTCATTAATCAGACTATCACACAGTCTTCACCATGACATCTTGAATTGTGGCAATATACTTCATGCTAAATAAACTCAGGCATTTTAAATATGCATATATTTCAAAGACCAGCAGCCTTCTGCAAAAAGGCTAGGGAATGAGCTTACACATTTAGGTATAATCCAGGTTACATTTATATACTTGTAAAACTTGCTTTTAAGTTTTGCATGCATGTTTTATGCCTGAAGGTATCAGCATTAAGTAAAATAAATCTGTCTCATGAAATAACTGTGGCCCCCATAATCTTACTACATATGCAAGCTGCGGAAGACGGACCAATAGCATACTGATTACAGGAACATCGTTTCTTGTAAGAGATGTGCAATCTAGTAAAAGACTTGCAAATTCTTTAAACAGATCTGTTAGACTGTATTGTTCTAGAAATTAGCAAGTTTTAGCTAGCCTGCCCATAATATTCCTAAGAGTAGACAATTGGAAAAAAAATAAAGAGAACCCTATGTGCTTGGGAGGTAATTAGATAACTACAAATATTGTATCTGTCATGTTTCTGAACAACAGAAGCTGACAGCTCATCAACTTCACAGATATTAGAACATTATTTCCTGAACTCTGAACTGGAAAAGGAATTACTAAAACTATGAAATGAAAGCTCTTCTACAAGCAAAGAAATGAGAAGAGATATTGGTCCCATTTTCTAGTCAATGGTGAAATTGTGTTTCAAAAAGTAATGGAGACTGTTTCTTAACCTGTGAGGAAAGTGAGGAAAAGCCACTGTGCTGCTGGTGATAGAAAAGGGAGTGTTATGTCAATCCACTATAATTATGTAAGCACAAACCAGAATAATTTTAAAACAACAAAAAGCTAACTTGAAATAAATGGAAAGGTAATGTTTATTCACCTGTTCTTACTTCATGTTAAGTAAATACATGAAAACTAACTTGAGATGGTTAGCCCAACACATCACCGTATTTTAACGAATGTCACTTACCAACTGCTCCATTCGTTCATAAACAAGAAACTGGCAGAAATCAAGCTTAACGGGCTCCACAACATATTTAATTTTTCTGTCTTGGAGGCTCTCCAAATCATTTAGAGTATTTCTAAAATGACTGTAGGCTTCACATGTAACATCCATATGTCTTAAAGTGAAGTTCAGCCTGGCAAGAGAATATTTGATTTAAGATGTCTCTCCTATACTGGCATCTTAAGTAGCTAAGTAACTTCAAGTAATGGAAAATGTGGGTCTTCTCCATGTAATTAACTAACTTTGATAGCCCAAAAAAGTAACTCCCCTGCTATTCCTGAAAAGCAGGCAAGACTTGGGTTAGCATCAATATGCAGTAACTCTTGGATGAATTTTTCCATTGATTTTAAGGCACTCTGCCACAAGAGAATCATTAGCTTGGCTTCCTGGACAAACACTTGGCAACAAGTCTTATGAATAGATGTTGCTTACTTATCTCGAGAGATTTAAGCGAGCCTTTTTAAATGTTAGTTTATGAATGGATTGCAAGACATGACTACTTAAAAACATTCAACAATTCCTTGAAAGAAAACATAAGAGAAATTGTTACAAAGGTACTCAAGCTGGGAAACATACACCCTAATTCTAAGCCCCTTCATTCCACTCTGTGACCTCAAAAATAGATAGCAAATGTTGTCAGGCATTACAGAAACACCAGTAATGCCACCGATTTATCCTTGTTTGCTCAGAGGTTGTCACATACAACACAAAGGTAGGGCAACAAAAGCTGAACTCTTGTGGAAGTCAAATTCTGAACTGCTAAAAATCAAGTATGTATAAACCCAAATACCTGTCCTGAGCATATACTGCTGCCTGTAGTCATCTAATATAGTGAAAATCAGAAGTTGACCTTCAATCAAATCAGATGTTTCTTCCAAATAAAGCACAAAAAGTTTTCAGTGCTTTTTATTTTAAGTTCTCCATGATACTTACCTCTTTTCTAAAGCTAGGTAAACCGTGCAAGAATTTCTCAAGTTGTGTGTGATTCTATACAGCGTTCTGAAGAAGGCATCTGTCAGGTCATCATCATAGAACACTGCAAAAAAAGATTAAGCGCATAAAATACGTATGTTTAAGTGTATTATTTACTTAAGTCTCAGGTATGAAAAAACAACAAGCCTTTTGTGGTTTAAGCCCAGCCGGTAACTCAGAACCACGCAGACACTTGCTCACTCCCTGCCATTCTTCCTCCCCCTGCTCCCAGACGGATGGGGAGGAGAATTGAAAGAATGTAACTCCCATGGGTTGAGATAAGAACAGTCCAGTAACTAAGGTATAACACAAAACCACTACTGCTACCACCAATGATAATAATGATAAGGGAAATAACAAGGGGAGAGAACACAACCGCTCACCACCCGCCAACCGATACCCAGCCCAACCAAGCAGTGATCTAGCCCTTCTGGGTAACTCCCCAAGTTTATACACTGGGCATGTCGTGCTGTGGTATGGAATGCCCCTTTGGTTAGTGTGGGTCAGGTGTCCTGTCTCTGCTTCCTCCCAGCTTCCCGTGCCCCTCCTCACTGGCAAAGCATAAGACTTAAAAGTCCTTCATCAGGGTAAACATTACTTAGCAACAACTAAAACACTGGTGTAAGGAGTATTGTTCTCAGACTAAAGTCGAAAATGCAGCACTGCACTGGCTACTACAAAGGAGAAAAATGACTATTACAGCTGCACCCAGGACAAAGCCTTAGTTCGATTATTCTGATGAAACAAGTCACTATCTTAACTAAATCCAAAAGCAAATTTTTAATGTGTACAACTGATCTTCTAATAGTATCCACTGCTACTAGTTATGTCAGACTTTCTTTAAGATTTCTCTCATCAATGGGAATCACTTTTGTCAGACAGCTTACTAAACGTTAAGATTTCTCTGAGCCTGGAAACACTGCAAAGCTAAAACACCCAGGATATCACAATGTACAGGGCCTTGTTTCTTACAACAAAGGCAGTAACTAATATGCCACTATAACCTTATCTCCTTGGAAAGCAATCGTGCAACACCTTTCAATATCATAACTAAAACCAGTGCTCCTTTATTTATATACGATAACAACAATGGTTTTCCTATAGAGATAAGCTAGCCTGCCATTTTTCAGTCTCTCCCTTCAGCAACAAAAAGAGCAGAAAAAAAAAGATGACAGAGATATTCAAAGGCACAGACTCTGTGGGCAAGTGCAGCACTGGAAACACTTTTTCACATTACAGACTATATTAGTCTAACCACCTATTTATCAGAGGCTATCTGATGCAAGACAAAGGTAGCATGACAAAACTCTTCATCACTTGCTTGTGCTTATGTTGAGTAATTTATTTAGTCACAAATAATTACCATAGCAAAGGAAAGCAAAAGCTAATAGTTTTCAACATCTATTTCCGATTCAGAATGTAAATACAACTGTTTAAAAAAAAATAAATACAGGCAGGAACACTTAAGGCAACTCTTTGACAAATTAGGTAAGCATCTGACCTACTGGATTTAAAAGCAAACTAGGTATGTTTAAGTTGTTACTCATAATGCTCAAGTGTTTCGACTTAAAAGCCTGCAGATTATATTATCCTACCATCAGCTGCTATTATCACAGTACAGTGGTCATGCAGATCAGCAATCTCTTCTTCAGACCAGCTGTAAGGAGCTTCACGATCTGTAACAAAGAATATAGCTTTGGTGTGCATGACTAAACATCTAAAATGATTGACAGCTGGAAAACCAAAACTTTTTAACTCCTATGATCATCTGCTACTCCATGAATGGTGCATGCCACTGAAGGTAAATCAGATTCTCCTTCTATTCACTCTTTGAACTTCCCTGCAGTCCTTTGCTTTCTCTGCAAGGCTAACTGGCAAGAGCAGGTCTTTTTTCACATTAGAATTTACAACCAATTACTACCCTGTAGAGAGATCACAGATTTAACTAGATTAAAATAAATACTCCCTTAAATAAAAGAACAAATGTATCTGTGTAAGTCTTGATTAAGCTTCCTAGTTCATCATGCTTTTTAAAATTTAGACTTTGTAAAATATAGACACTTTCTCTGAAAGCCAAAACAACCTCAAACCTTTTCAACTGACAGTATCAAATATTTTCATTAACCAGAATTTGAGGTCCAAGAGAGGCTTTTGAATGTCTAAAGGATGTTTCCACTTGCTTAAACAGTTGTTCTATTTTTTAAAAGCATTATATCAAATCCAACTGATGATATAAAAATCTACAAAGTAGGCTTCATGTAACCTAGTGCTACAATTTTGTGTTGTCCTTGTGATCACTAGAAAGACAGTTTTAATAATCTGATTTATTATCATTAATTGCACTTTACATTTTACTTGTCAGTTGCCTTTATTTTGGTAAAACTAGCAGAATGCATTCCCTTGGATAATATTTTATATATAACACATTCACCACTTCATTTGAATGAATATTTATATATCTTCAAGTCATACCCTCCGTGACACCTTTTACAGTTCTGTATTCATACAGTAACAAGCCACAAAATACCATCACACGAAAATCTGGATTACTGAACTCAAGTCCATGTCATCATGCCTAGATACCATTATCCCGTAATAAAATAGACACCTTGTTTGCACCTCTGGATTTTGACCTAAGTAGAGATCAGCCACCACTTGTCTATTCTCAACCTACCAGTAAACCTTTCCTTACTCATTCACATAGCAATGACGCACCCAAAGACAACTGTGTACTTTCAACTACTTTCCAGGAACATATGTGCTGGAGGACTTCATAAATGGAATAATCTTTTTTTGATGGCTCTAAGGGAAAAACAAAACAAACAACCCTATCTGAAAGGACCCATTAGAGCCACCTACCAGTGCAGAATTCATCTTTCAGCCAGTCCAGTTCTTTCACTTTAACTTCCCCTCCTGAGGATGAAGAAAGATCACATAAGTCACAAATGGCATTCAGACAGTACCTAGGCAGAGTCAAAACCTCTACTGAAACAAGAGAGAAAGATTTATTATGAGACAAGTAAAGTTGAACAACAAATAATTTACTGTACAAAACCAGTTACCCACTCATACCAGAACAGAATGAACTTAAGGGTCAGAAAGACAACCTATGTTCTCTTTTACATGTCTCATCTGCAAAGTACTTGTCCTTTCCAGAGCTTGACTTCTGTCATTTACACTGTTTATGTGACCCTTGACCCCTGGATATCCATGATCCTCCCAAGTACCTCAGTGAAATTCACACACTGACTGTGTAGGAACTGCAGCTGGACTTCAATAATGACCAGAGAAAGAATAGGTATTTTGCTTTTCTCAAAAGGAAGCTGTTCCATTATGAACTACATATAGATATTTTGCATCTTCCTTTTTAAATGAGTCACTGTGCTGTTTAATCCCAAAGTAGTTCATACACAGGCAACTGCACAAGCACTGACTGCATAGCACTTACTTCCTGGCTCCATCAGGTGTTTGTTTAATGTAACATTTTGCTCACACATGGCCAGAAGATCTTCACCAACGTCTGAAAAAAAGTGATAATAGTAAAAAAAAAAAAAAGAATATTTTGCATGGGCTGTGCATGCCCCTGACCCTTCAGACTAATACTTTTGTAAGTTTTTCTCTAGCTGACTAGATTAAGGAAACTTCAGAGCAACTCTATCCACTGACCATTGCTTCACTAGTATACTTCTTGCTTCTAGCTTTCAGTACTACCTCTGAGCCACTCCTGAAGAAAGAATTTAAATCCCTATACTGCCTGTTTTAACCTAGGCACACTACTTGAGTTCACAGCAATGTATCTTGCTTTTAAACTCTTTCACTTGATAGTGGTACTGCTTTTTCAACCTGTTGGGAAAGTTCTTGTTATAAACAACACAACCTTATATATATTAATAAAAAAATACTAACTAAAACTGAACAGATGAGGATGGGAATGCCAAGATGAAAGCACTGCTTCATGAATTTTCACAAAAATATTTAACTGAAACTGCCTTACCTGTGCAATAAACTCTCTTGGCAACTGTTCCCATAATAATGCTTGTAATTCCAGTGCCACCTCCAAGCTCTAACACTGAGCAGCACCTGAACGTGTCCCGTTTAAACAGAATGTAATCAGCAAGAAGAAAGGCTGCACGCCAGACCTGTGGATAAGAGAAGCAGTGAAAACTGAGTAAATTGTGAAGCACAATTCATGAACAACAAGATACTACAAGGCAGGATACATACTTGTTTACCGACATCTTCTAAGGGAGTTGCCATAGTATGTTCTGTGAAAATGAAAGTAGAGCAGAAATAATTACCTTAAAGTGTTGTTCAAATCAAGTTCCATAGTAGCAAATTTGAAAATCAAGTCGTGCTTCCCCTTCAAATACAGAACTATACACTCTTCATTCTATATAGTAATGCTAGACAATGCCCAAACCCCGACTCTAACTAAGCAGCATGAGTTTCCCATAGTATACTGTTGCCCAAATCACTTCTGGACAAAAATGGTAAATTTAAAAAATATTTAAAATATCACAGTATTAAGTTTGGTTTATTATCTCCTGTCACTTCATACCTGCTGCTCCAGTTCTAAAGAAAACCTATTTTCCTTTTGTTTTATGCTAACATATTTATTCCATTTCTCCTTGACTGTAAGCCTATTTACCTATTTTAACAACATCACTGCGAGTGCATTCTTCTTCATCTTCAAAAGCATCTTCTTTCCCTTTCATCAGAATGACAGGATATACTCTATCCCTCAAAAGATCCTCTGCTTCTAAATCAGAGGCACTTCGAGGTCTTCTGACTACTTCCAAGTCTCCGTCCTTATCTAGCAGAGCTTCTACTCCTTCACCATTTATAAATTCTCTTTCCTTTTTTAGATTATTCTTGTCCTTGTCACACAGTTCATCTCCACTCTGGTACTGGAGTTCTCTTTCTGTTGTAGCTTCTCTCACATGTTTCTCAGATGACAAATCTTCTATGTTCCACAGGAGTTTGAAATACGACAGGAATACTGTAAAAACACAAGAAGGAGAAAAGAAGTTAAACATCAGGTAAGAACAGAATCTATGTGCAACTTCAACGTGTTAAATTTTGTTGCCTTTGACATATCAAAAATCTAGACTATAAAAAATTATACAGATAATTTGAAATAAAGTTTACTTTGCTACAAAGAAATATTTCAGTTATTTAGTTCTGACCGTAGAAATAGTGAAGCACTTTCACAGTCTACTGGCTGACTTAGCATCTACATAGTCACAATGCGCATTTTCATCTGATTTAATAACATTTTAACAATTGGCAGAAAGGACAGTTTCCTCCATCTTCCAACAGATTTTCTTTTGAGACAAGTTCAAACCAAGTTGAAAGAATTAACACAAGTTAGAATTTGTTTCTTTTGGTTCAGTTGTAATTCTTATCCTATCAGAAACACACACGTTCTAGTGAAAAAAGCAAGTAACTTTTTTTTTTTTTTTTTTTTTACTAAGTTTAGGATTTCAAGCAACTTCAAGCCTTGAAATTGGCTTACTTTGAGTATGAGGGGGCAGAAATAAGATCACAGGAGACAGCATGCCAAAGCCAGACATGTGTTTTTGGGGGGAGTCTTGAAACTTAATCTTTGAGATAAAAGTAGTAAGGCCACTGTTGTCTATAAACCAATTCACTACAAACATTTTGCAACCATTATCCAGTGACATGAACATCTACTAAAACTTCTAAGTTATCCACAATGGATCTTGCAATTTTAAATATAGGAATCTGTATTGTTTGGATACAACAGATGAGGAAGACATCTGTCCTAACATCTCCAGTGGATGTCAGCTCTACAGCAGTGCTTACGCACTATGCTTACACAATGTGCTTGACTAAATGGGCCAGTCATGGAACACAGATCATGGAATTTGATTCAACTGTGGTATAAAATCAGTGTTTGTAAGCATCTTAGGCTGGATACTATTATTCCAAAATCACACAGAATGTGTTGAGACTTGAGAAAAAGATAGCCAAGAATATGACTAGTGAAAAAGGCCAATACCAGCAGGATTCTAAGAAGAATATAATAGAATTATGCTCATTCACATCAAAAGGGAAGAGAGAAAGTGATTGCCACGATTGCTTTCAACAATTTCACTATTTATGGAGTTCTATTCCAGTTTCTTTACAAAGCTGGTCTACAACTGAGAGTTGTTCTTCTCTAGAGAGACCACTGTCAGCTAGATCGAATAAAATCTTCACTACTTATCATAAGAAATTTTTTAAGTCATCTACTGTTTGCATGACAAGAAGATTAAACTGACTTTTATTTAACAAATTAGAGGATGCCATCAATGAATGAAATGCTTTTCTTTTCCAAGTCCATTCTGACCCTCTGCATGTTCTGTGGTATTTCAAAAGGTTTAAGTAAAACTGACCCAAAGCAGCAGTGCCTAAATCCCCACGAGGTTCCCTAAAAACCAGTAAAGTGACAGAAGTAGATTGCCATCGTAAGTGTTAAGAGTAAAGGCTGTCATACTACAACTGAATCCTTGTCTTAATATTAATAAAGGAATTTCCCAGACCATTTCATTCTATTGAAAGGTTCTTTGCATCAAGCAAAATCACAGCAAACAAATGTCGAACAGCATGAAGCCATGCCACAGCATTCATTCCCTGGTTTTGACCTGATCAGGGTCAGAATTATTATCCACTTGTCAAACCTACTTTTATCATTTTTTACATTGTCATATACTAGAGCAGCTGCAAAAGTTATTATTTTTATGTCACAACTGAGTTTGAAAAAAACAACACTTCTGTCACAGCAGGAGCACTGCTTTTCTACAGAACATTTTACCAGCAGCTTCAAGGCCAGCTTTCTTGACAACTTTATAGAAACCTACAAGTGGGCAATCAGTCAGATGAATTTGCCAGTTCAGTTCCACTACGGCCTTGACTCCTCACATTGTTGTCAGTTAAAACCATTGCTATTCTGAGCTTTCTTGTTGCCTTTTTTTTTTTTAACAAAAAAACAAAACAAAGCCCGAACAAATCTGTTAGGTTCCTCTGGAATAGTTTGTAAAACATCACATAAAGATTTTATTAAAATTCATAAATTAAGTTCAAAATAAAAATTATCAGTAATTAAGTTATGCTATTTAAAACATGACTTCTCACTTTTTATTTGTACACAAGAAACATGCCAACTTTTTAAAAGAAATCCCACAGTGCTACATTGAGATTATAGCTAAATAAATAAATAAGTAAATAAAATTAAACCTGCAAGCAAGTTAATTTGGTTACTTCTTCTCAGAAAGTAATCTACAATTTCTTTTTTAAGATGGGTTGTCTACAAATTCTACATTAATAGCTTTCATTTCTGTAGTTACTTTAATGAGGAGAACCCAGCTAGACCTCTCCCTGAAGACTGTGTAGGAAGTAATTCTGCTTCTAACTGGAATAAAACATGTAATGATTAATACCAGCTATTCAAAAGAGAATTCAGACATTACAAAGATATGAACAGACTTCAGATACATCTCCATAAGTCTAAACATACATTACCTGGTTGTCCCACTGCATTCAATCGTACCATGAGATGTCTTTTATTTGGACAGTGTAAGTGAACATCAGAAAGTACAGTGTCACTTTTAAATGTGGGGCTATCCATCTCCTCTGTTACATCCAGCATGATGTGCTGGTGAGAGGCACATCTACAGTACCCAAAGTCCCCTGTGAAGTGGTGACACAAAGTGATTCGATACTCTTCTGTTATCAGGCATTAAGTAAGTTTTGCTCAGCAACATGACCTCATGACGGTTTCTGAAAAAGACCGCAGGGATGATGTGATCATGCAAGCTCCACCATGCTCCAGTAACACAGCAAGTTGGGCATCAGGATATTCAACCTAAAACCAAACACAGCTTTTAGTAACATCCTGATACTGAACATTGCTCCAGCAATATTTTAGAAGATAAAAATCAGATTACACTGTCCAACAAAGTTGCAATGCTCCAATGCTATTACAATGGTCCAAAGGATCACCAGACACCTAATTGCTAGTAATTCCGTGGCAGAGACTGCCTGTTTTAGGAAGAGCTACTTATTAGCTTATCTTAAAAATAACCCCCTTGAAAAAAACAGATGTTACCATGAATGCACAGACTTACAGTGCTAAGTCAAAGGTCTTCAAAGGAACATAAGACCTGCATGTTCAACTTCACCATTTTAAGGGATTTTGTCCTTCATAGAAGTCTCCGAATTTCCCCAGAAATGGACAAAAGTACCGAACACACTATCACTGATTTATCATAGATCCCTCAAGGAACTAAACCTATGGTGAAAGGAGTCTTTTCCTGCAGAAAATTCAGGTCATTTTATATGTCTTCACTAATTGGGCACTTGATGTCTCCCATCTTTGACACTCTTTATTCTTCCAGAAAACAACAAAAAGGAATCATCCTCATTACCCAATATTCAAGGCTGAATTGTCTCCCTCTCCTCAGGCACAAACAAATGAATTACCTCTTATGAACAAAGAATAAAGAGGACATTTATTTCCTTATGCTCTAAAAACTTGGCATTTTGTGAAGGGTACTTTAAACGCTGATGAACCATTGATCTGAAAACAGAATCTGTCTTTCAAAACTGTGATGACAAGCTTAGGTCACACACAGAAATCATCAAGCGTTATACGAATGATTTAGCTAAAGTCATTCAGGCCTCCCAGCTATGAGCACCCCTAATATTCCTTATGTAAAAATCATTGATGCCGTGTCCTTTGTTGGCATTAGTATCTTCGAAAACTCAGCTAAATTTTCTATTATCTGCTTGTGCTTGAGCAAGATTGTATAGTCTTAAACAGGCATAAATAGGCTTAAAATGCTTCAAGTTACACAGACTGCCTCCATAACTTCAGTAAGGAAGTTGTACTAACTTTTGTAACACCTAACCCAGCCCCCAAAGCTGCCCTTTGCCACCGGAAACCTGTGCACGAGACACATCCGCGCCTGATGCAGAGCAACGCGGCAGCGTCTCACCACCCGCCGTGCCCGCACGGCAGTGGCTCCTGCTCCCCGGGGCAGCAGGCCGCAACCTCTGGCCCCTCCCGGCCGTGCCGCGGGGCGGAGGAGCGGCTCCCGCGGGAAGGGGGCCGGCTGCGGAACGAGCGGCTCCCCCAGCCGGCACCGAGGGGGACCCCGCCTCTCTCGCCCGCAGCCGCACCTGCCGCCTCCGCCCGCCTCCCGCCGCCATTGCAGAGGCGACGGCTCCTTCCGGCGCGCGGCTGACGCGAGGCTCGGAGGAAGGAGGGGAGGCCGGCGCGGCCTGTGGGCTCTGCGGGGGGTGCCGGGCCCTGTCCTGTGCCGCCTGAAGCCGCCGCAGGTCCCGGGCCGCACGCCTGGGGCTGGTAGCCGCGCTGTGCTGAGCCGCCGCTCGATTGCCCGTTCCACAGCAGCCGTCCCACGGGCTCTCTTGCATGTACGAGTCACGCAGCACTAACCCCTACGAAAAAGGCACCTCGGGAGTCGGTAAACGGGGACGCCAGCAGCCACGTTTAGTGTTGCCACTAAGGCCTTCACAGCAGTTACCTAAAGCTTGAACCCACGTTTCCTACCCCCGTTCTTGTATTACTTGGTTTCAGCATTACTTACTCTCTCTCCATCTGTGTGCAATTCCATGCCAAACCTCCGAACAGCTTAAAATCAAAACCCCAAATATCTTTATGCAGACCGGCGGGCACGTCTTCCTTAGCCCAAACAACTCCAGAGGTTTACTACCACCATTAGAGTAGATGAAGCAATAGCAGTATCTGCTTGCCCATCTGGGAAACAGGGATTTTGGCTGCTCAGTTCCGCAGTTCTGTGCAAAATCACAGACACAAACTCCATCTGTATTCTAGTTCATCCTCTGCAAGTCCGCAAGGGCTGCTGAAGTTGTTAATACCTTTCACCAGAAGGATCCAGTTCAAAAGCAGCATTTACAAGCTAATGAGTTGTTACACAATACTAATGTCAATTGCTACAGATGATCCTTGTATTTTCTTGAGTGAATGCTTGTGGAGAAGGAAGAATTAAAGAATTAACTTTGAGGAAAAAAACCCCACTTGGAATGTAATGCATTGTCTGTATTTCTAGATGCCTGTTTCTCATCATCTGCATCCTTCTATAAAGGCTAAGAATTATGAACAGAATGAAGTAATCGTTCCCTATTTTTACAGTCTAGCATGTTGAGTGGTAATGAAGTGGAAAACACAGTGAACCATTCAGATCTCTCATTGGAGTTTCTGTGGGGAGTGTTGTTGGATGAACATCTGATAAAAATGCTTTGGAGATTTGTTTCCCTTTTATCTGGCTCCTGTGCGAGAGCAGAATATTATTTTATTTCCCCTGGTGATATGCTGCCACATAAATTATTACTGCACTCTCTCTGCTGGCTTATTCCCCACTGCTATAAAGTGCTAACAATATGCAGACAAAGCAGATTATATTTGTCACAAAATCTTACCAGTTTGTAACAAGATGCTTACTGGTATGTAGGTTTAAGTATTACTAGAGGGGTAGCTAGAAAGCCAGGTGTGTCACGACACTGCACAGGATCTTCTCATCACAAAGGTGCATTATATGAGAAATGAGGTTGCTATCATTTCTTTTCTAAAAAATGCAGCTACCTTGTTTCACATACATATAATCATGAGGCAAAGCAAAACTATCTTGTGGCTGCAGAAGGTCTCAATGGAGCCAGTGTGGCTGCAGGCATTATAACATGGGTGATAATAAGAGTTGCTCAGCGTCAGCCTAGCCCAGGAGATGCAGTTTCTGTGATGCACGCAAGAGGGCTTCGGCAGAAAATTCCTGAGATCTACCTCTTTTTAAAAGACTTTAGGATGCACCTCAGTTACATTTCCTATGTTCCTCACAGCCATGTGAGGAATTGGCTTACAGAAAGTAGCCAAGAGTATCCCTTAGTCCCATCACACCAAGAATTAGGGGACTTAAAGAAATGGTTGTTCCCCTTGTGATTTTTGCCTAATCCTGTCGTGGCCCAACGGACATTGCTAGGATAATTCCTTAGAGTGCCTTCAAAATGCCAGCACTGCTGCAGGAGGCTCAGAGAAGAAAAGTATACAGACAATCCTGAAAAATAGGTATCTCTGGGAAAATCTGTTTCCTGAGGAACTGATAAGAGAATGGAGCTGATTCTAAGCAGACAGGAATAACCAGGTGCATTAATACACCACTACATATTTGATCTTGTACTGTGCAATAGCATATTCCTGACAGCTCATGATATCATTCCAGTACTGTCTCTTTGCTTGTCTTCTTTTCTTTCATGGTATGTCTACCAGACAGAAGCACATTCTGTGTTTTGATTAGGTCAGGAAAACCAACAAAATAAAACAACAAAACAAGCTGAAGGCTGTCAGGAAGAAAAAAACTATCAGCCCTCATCATTCCAATCCTATTGTACTGGGACTGTTGAAAGGAGATGTGCTGAACTAGTTGTCATTTCATCTTGTTTGCTGGTATGCTGGCATGCACAGTACTTGGGGCGAGTTCCTTAAGCCATCAAGCAACAGGGAGAAATGTCAGGCAACAACTGAATAAAAGGACTACTGGTCTAAATGATGGATGATGAGGATGGATGAAGAATTTTGCTTTGCTCTTGAAGCATGTATGACACATCAGTGTTGGTCACCAGGTTGAAAATTCCTAAATAACTGCTTGAAGTGGAAAAGTACATGAGAAGAATAGCTGAAAAATGATTAAAAAGGGCAACTGCAGCTGTCAGCTTTTTTGCCTCCACATTTCCTGAATATCCATTTCTCCTTCCCAGGGGAAGCTAGTAATCATACTGCCTCACCAGCAAGAAAACTGAATTACAAAACACATTAGCAGCACAGAGCTAAAATCCACAGTGATTTCTTTTTCATTAACTATTTTGTGGTTGTTTATCAGATACATTCACACTTTTTACTACAGCATTTTACTCCCTGGGCTTATTCAGAAACATAATTTGCATGCCTTTGACATCACCCCATCATGACTTCTCATGTCCAACACAAGCTGATTTGCACAGGATTTTTTCTGAGACACACATGTATGTAATGTCTCAGGTGATTCTCAGAACAATGTCAACCCAGTGACTGTGATTATAAGCACCAAAAATACCTCTCTTTAGTCAGGGGAAAAGGAGCAAAATTCAGGTAAATGAAAAGCCTTCCTTCACTCCCAAGCACATCAAATCCACAAAATACAAAAGCCATACTGATTCTTCAGCAGCAATCATCAATTGTCTTTTGAATTGGTGTCTCTATGCTAGATTACAGTGAGGAACAGCAGAAAAGTATTATTATATTTATGTGCTCCATACCAAATGCTCTATTAGCAAAAGACTTTAACGTTAATCAATACTTCAGAAATAAGAGAAAGCTCCATCCATCCATTCTACTCATCACTACTATTACTTTTTCAAGCATGTCAGCCTAAGGAGGCAGTGAATCAGCCTTAGGAATTTCTCAGCCTTCGACCTGTACTGTATGAAAAAGAGGAAGGCAAAGACTTTAATTTACCTCACATACCAGACAGCTTTACAGAGGTTTAACTGTTTGTTTTAAATGATTAATTGATCCAGTTTCATCCACTGAGTGAGTCCTAAGGAGTCTGTGTTAGGGATAAACTAGGCCTATTCAAGACAGAGTAATAATTGCATAGTACAGCAGTTTCTTATGGACGGTTCACATCATCATCAGGGGTCATTTAATTTCAATGCAGTTTCTCATTAGACCTGCCCTTCTGCCATCCTGTACTTTTCACCTCCCTCTCATTGCATCTCCTCTGTATTTTCTTGCCCATACCATGGCAGACATCCTCTTTTGAGCTAGCTGGGCTAGCCAAAAAATGCTACTGCTTCTGTTGCTTAATACAGGCGTCTGTTGTGTCTACTGGTATTAGGACTGTTAAGTGTCCTGTAATTCCCTTGAAACAAAGTCATACAAACGAGGTCACCGTTACCATCTGCTTCAAGTGAGCAGTATTTCACTTATGCTGTAACAAATCATAGCTGTGCAATGGAAATGAGACACTTTTATTAAACTAAGCACTTCAGCATCAAACTGACCTTGATGCTATGAAAAGTTTTTGTATCACAAAATTTTGTATCACCTCATTCATTTCTTCTCTGATCTGTTTCCGAGGCAGTCTTTAACATAACCTTTGTTCATGGTTTGGGGATTCAGATCAGGCTATTCTCTATGACTCCTACAATTCTCTTCCATATACTGAGCACTTGGGGCCTTATTATCTTAAAAAAAAAAAAAAGCCTGGAT